GGCGCTCGCACGGGAAATTGCCTTCAGCCAGAGGGTACTGCTGCACCGAGGACCAAGCCGAGCCGTCTCTCGGTTTTCCCCGACCCCCTTGTCTCAAAGCTAAGTTGTGCCAGGCTGCAAGTGCCCTCCGGACTTGGGCTCCGAGGCGGTGCAGATCTGTGTGTGCTGTGAGGGAAGGGTCTGGGTGGGAACGCGTCTGGCAGCCAGGTGTGCAAATCCAGTGTGCCAGGTGCCCGGCGATAGGGGGACCTGGAAGCTACACCTCTGAAACTGTGTCAGTGTTGGTTGTCTTCAGGGGACAAAAAATGTTCCAGAGGTGGCTGTCCTGTCCTCACGGTGCTGTGCAGAGAGATGCAGCCTCAATCCTTGCTTCGATGTAGTGGTTCTCACACAGCACAGCCCTAAAATAACCACCTTTCACAGCCCTGCTTCCCTCTACCTGCGAACACGAGTCACACTTGTACAGCAGAGGATTTAATCGGGGATCAAGTGATGAGAATCAGGGCTGCGGGAAAGGATTTACCTTTGCTGAGGCTGGCAGCCTGGCCTCTCCTTTGGCGAGCAGGTACCCACATATGGCCTATTTCACTTCCTTCAAAGAATTAATTATTTTCTCCTGTACGTGGCCCCCGGAGGAAGAAGTCTAAGCACCTCCCTCACACTGTCATCCTCTATTTCCAGCACTTGCTCTGGAGGTGTGTGTCCTGGTCCTTTTCCCAGAACTTTGTGTTTTGTTCTCTGACAGATGTTCAATGTAAAGTACATAGACACACTTTGAAAAGGGACTGTTCCCCTCCCTTCCCCATGGCAATGTTATTATTGCTAGGTCATGGCCTTCTCCTTGATTGCACCCGTGAATCCTGAATCCCCACCCTCTCCCCCAGGCAGCAGTACGGGTTCAACAGGCTGGTTGAAAATGGAGTGTGTGTTAGGCTAGCCTACCTCCCTGGTAAGATATTCTTCTGGAAGGTCAGAGGGAGGCATCTGAACCCTATCAGGCAGAACGAGGAGAAGCTGACCTTGTGTCTCCTGGTGTGGGGGGCCCTGCAAGGCACACAGGGGGAAGTCCGTCCCACGCAGGAATTCAGAAAGGGTTCAAAGGGGCTGGTGAAGTGTTAAGCAAAAGCAGTCAGCGGCTTAGCACGTGGTGGGGAGGTCGATTATAAGCACTTGCAGCTGGTTCTCTCTCTCACACCCTGGAGGAACTGGGTGACTGCTGACTCAGGAGCTGCATCAAGTCAGAGGAATGGGAGGGCGGTCATATTTCTTGAGTGCCTGTGACACACTGCAAAACGATGGGATAGCAATGGGCACCTCCTACTTGCTGTCCCGTCTTGGAAGAGTGATCACAGCAGCGTGCTGTGAGAAGCTGGAGCCCATTGGTATGTGCTGGATGTGCTCTGGAAAGGCTGTGCAGCTGAGGCCATGGGTCTCGTCTTGCATGGAAACATGTCTGAGCTCTGAATTCCAGCATTGGGCCAGGGGGAAGACAGGCACAGAGCTGCCCAACGTGGGGTGGTTCTGGGTATGTGAAAGGCAGAATGTTCTGTATCTTGGGATCCCGACAACCTCAAAATAGTACTCTAGAGCCTCCAGGATTAGGCATCAGTTGAGCAGAGGCTGTTGGGAGGGCAGTTCTGAACTTTAATGCCTCAGTTCTGCCCTAGCGCTGCTTCTGGTGTTAAAGACGTTACATTCCTTGCTGCTCGTGTGAATGTGACTTAAACATGCTCAGGGCAGGCGGTTATAGCAAACTGCCCTGCAAACTCCTCCTGGAATCTGAAAAGTTGAATTCTTCCATTCATGCGCACCCTTGCCTGGATTGCAAAATCATTCCCTTCAGTCTAGCAAACTGCTCTGTTAAAGCTGTGCATCTGGAGTCGTTCACTGCCAGTTTACCTGTGGAGAGGCAATAATACCAAGACTGAGACCTGATTTTATTTTTTTATTTATTTTTTGGGGATACCATTTAGTGAGAACATGTAATTGAATACATGCTGAGAACTGATCTGCTGAAGAGCCTGCTGTTTCTAAACACAGTAGCAACTCTTCATAATAGGCATGTTTAGCTTAAAATATATCAAGGTAGAGGTATTATAAGCCTTGTTTAACCCAAACAGATTTTTTCCTTGGAAGCAAACAGGGAAAACTGGGGAGAAACTGTCACGGAGGTCTGACAGATGTTCAAGTATGTGAAGCTTAAAGAGGAACGTGTGCTATTCAGTTTGCTCACAGACGCTTTGTGACCTGTGTCTTTGCAGTAATGATGACACAAGCTTTTTTGAATAAAAGGAAGAAATTAACTGCCTTGGCTAATTGTACTCTTGCTAGGGAGCTAACCAAGGACACCATTTGACTGTGAAAATTGTTGGTGCACCCAAATCCCTCAGCTGGGGAGAATATCTGGGGTGTTCCCAAATCTGTGGATCAGAAGGGCTATTTAAAAATCTTCCTAATTGGAAAATTAACCACTATTACTTTAAAACAGTGGTGCACTGCTTTGAAAAATTAAGACCATATGGAATCATTTATTACTTTTCAATATGTATTTAGTCTCTGTACAATTTTATGTCCTTGCTAATGCATAAAGTCTTTTGGAGCAGGAATAAAGCACCACAAAGCATGATTTAATGCTATAGGGTCACCAAATCTGTTTCAGATTACTGGATGTTTCAATCTGCTGAAAAGAAGGGGCTGTCCCTGAACCAATGAAACAATAAGAAGGAAGGGAGGTGAGCTCATAAATCTGGAACACTTTGGAAATATAGTGCACATATCAACAAAAACTTTTAAAGGATTCAGTGGGGATTTGGTCACATAAGAGATAAAATTATGAAACAAATTATATGAAGTAACAGGAAAGTTAAAACAAAGTCAGTATTAATAGTATAATACTTGGTTGCAATTTAAGGCATCTTAATGAATCTGAACAGTACAGGCCCACATAAGCATGTGACTGTAAGAGAAAATAGGAGCAAATAATCTGGGAGTGCACAAAAGTGCTTTTGTTTGTAGTTCTGCAGTCACTGGAAGTGCCTATTCTATTGGTTATTCACAAACACCTCTGGCTCTTTCTTCCAGAAATCCTATCCAAACGTTTTTGTTCTGACTTAGAGGAGGACTTTGTGCTTTGGCTCTTTTTGTGCGGTTCAGTCTTACGGCAGCGTCCTTCCTCTGGCAAGGGCCTGAAATGGGTCTGATGCTGCCTTTTTTTTTTTTTTGCAGAGTGACAAGCTGTGGGGCAATCTTTGCTCTCAGGGCCCGGGCACTTTCCTTTCACTGGTTCAGCAGAGATCAACAAGAAGAGGCTGAGTCTGAGAAGTTAACCATGCATGGTTCAAGCCACCTGGCAATGAGCTCTGCAGGCATAGGAGGCAACCTTTCTGCCTTTATCATGAACCTGAGAGCAGTATAACCATCTGGCTGGTTATAATTTAACAGAAACCCCATTTTTTATCTTGCTATGGTGGTGTGCTTTCTTTTAAATGTCACCTGTAGAGTTTCCCAATGAGTGGAGAAGTTTTGCTTTGTATTTCTTACAGATACTGACAAAAACTAGTCCACTGGATTACCATAAACCTAGCCATATTCTTTCTTAGAGGCATGAGCAAGCTGAAAAGAGTTTGCAGTAACTTTTATACTTTAATCAAAATATTTTTCAGTATATATTTGTCATTTTTAACCAGTAGACTCATTGACTGGTTATTTTATTAATGTTGAAATCTTACAATTTTAGAGGAGTTATTAAGCAAATAAATTAATCTTCAGCTTTCCCATGGCACTGAAGCTTGTTCGTCACTGTTGTGCTTTCCATCATTCTTTAAACCCTTGGTAATCGATAGTGGTAATTTCAAATAAGTTCAGATCTTTTGTTCAAAGTAAACTGAGCATGCATGCATCTTCTAAATCAGCACCTTAACGTGACCTCTCCTTTCTGCTCAAATTATTAAAATCAAAATAAAGTTCTTCAGACAAAATGAAGCCAGTTGAATGAATACATAATAAGGATTAAAACAAATACCATGAGGAGTAATTGCTGTCTTCGATTAACTTTCATCCAGTCCATATATCTTAGCCATTGGAAAATCTTAAATAAAATCTTCTTTAAAGTCCTTTCAAACTTTTTTGAGAGTAGTTGTCAGTTTAGGCATATATCCCAACTTTAACTTGTACGTATGGTAAAAATATTACTTGCCCATAGATGGCAATAGCATTACATTGCTGAATTAGCCCTCAGCCTATGAAATGAGGTTGTGATGGTGGTGAACATTAACCTTGGGAATGGAAAAAAAATATCTTGCCTTTTCTTTTTCTTCTTTTTTTTTTTTTTCTTGTCTGCAGCAGTGGCAATGGGGACTGTTCTATTTGCAGGAATGTTGGGACTAATCATGTGAGAAAAGATCCTGGAGTGATGAGGCAGCATATTTCCCATGTCTGAGGTCAGGATTTGTTCTGTGAAGCTGACCTTTAAAACAGCCTGAAAATGAGGAACGTGGCACCAGAGAGCAGAGCAGGAAGCATGAAATGATGTAAGATATGTTTCTTCTGCATATGAAATACATTTTTTTTTAAAGCTCCAGGTTTGTGAGTCAGCATTTTCTGCCACTGAGAGAATATAAGAAAGGGGAAAATTCTGTAGCAAAGAGAAAGTCCCTGTTGTTCTAAGCAAAATCTAATAATATATTAGCCAGCAGGTATTTTTGTTCCCTTCTGTTGAATTGGAGTGGAGATTATATTTTTCCCAAATTACTCTCCCCTCAACCTCCTGATCTGAGAGCCCTGGAATTGAAGACAAAGTTTTGTTTAGGCACAGCCTGGACACCTTGTCTACATGTAATGGGTGTGAAGTACCTCCAGCTTTGTTGACATTGGATTCCTGAGTGACTGCTGTTTCTACTCTGACAACTGACTGCGGGACAAGCCCGCAATGAGAAAGCTCTGGGGTGCTGGTGCTGGGTGGATGTTTGGTGCAGGACAGGCAGCCCTGCAGGATTAAAGCATCAGCCCAGGTGAGGTTGCCAGCCTGGGTTTGATCCCAGGTGCAAGATGATGCAAGACCTCAGACACAAGCCCCCCTCTCTGAGCTTATGCAAAAGTGCCTTTACTGCCTTTTCTTTCTTATTTCTCGTCTTTTCTTCCTGTGTCCTTCCTCTTGCTGAGATGCACGAGGCCTGATGCATCTGCTGGATGCCCCAGCCTGTTGCTGCCCTCTGATCTGAGAAACCCTGCTGACTTGTTTGGAAGGAGAAAGTGAGGAAGCCATTTCATCCTTCTCCCTCCTTGGAGACTGGTTCTGTGTTACGATGGCATTTATCTCTCTTGTTAAAGGAGGTGGCAGCATTGGGGAGCACTCCCAGGTACTAGAGCTCAGCTGTGTCCATGATGAGACTGGTCCCTGGCACAGTGTTGGCCCAGGCTGTTAGCACTTTACAAAACAATTCCCTGCTATGGACATAAAAAGTCTGGCTGCAGTTGTTCCACTTTGATGGGTAAGAGAGTTTAACAGCCTGGACGTGGCTCCTCTGTGCCCACTGGCTAGTTTATCCCTATGGATGTGGCCTGGGGCAATCTGTGCTCAGAGTGGTACCTGCACAAGGACAGCTGCTTTCCAGTGTTGCATTGCATCATGGTGAAGAAGCAGGGAGAGAGCCTTGTCATGCTTTCTTTTTACCTGCTGAGTTGGCAGCACCAGTGAAGGTGAACGATGGCTGGTTTTTGGTTGCTCCAAATGCCAGACAGAAGGAAGCCTGCTTGCATCTGCCTCAGACTCTGAATAGATTTCTTTTTTTAAGAGTCCTAAGGGACAAGCAAATGGATATGAGCATGTACTGTGAGACCAGCACTGGGACGGCTTGCATGTTATAAATTGATATTGAAAAATGGGTGGTGGAACATTAGAGCCACACAAAATGATTCAGAGCCTGAAGAAAATGCTTTGCAATGGGAGACATGAAGCACTTGCTCTCTCTACTTTATCAAAACAGGCTGAGCAGGGAATTGATTATGATGGTGAAGGAACTTTCTTGGCAGAAAAATATCAGGTACTGAAAGGCTCTTTAATCTAGTAAATTATGGGAATGTGTTGCAGCAAGCTGAAACTAGATACATTCATATGAAAAACTGGGAGGAAATTTATTGGAATGAAGGTGGTTAATCACCATAACAAGCTGTCAGGGTATCTGGTGCATTTTCCAGATGTGTCCAAGCCAAGACAGGCCTGTTTCTGATGGGTGTGCTCTAACCACAGTCAAAAGTGTGAGTGACACTGTAGTCAAGTCTCAGGCAAGGTAAGAAGGTGAGGTTTGAAGGGCTGTGATATGCGAGAGGTCTGACTAACAGTTCCAAAAGGAGCTGTGAAGATCTAATGGTTCCTATCTGTCCTTAACCTCAGAGAGACTGAGAAAAACAGCACTTCGCAGGAAGCGGAATGGAAGAATCAGAATGACAGCCTCACCAGTGGCACATTTGTGTGCCCTCTGTTTCTGTAAGGACTTGATCTTTCACCTGCTCAGGATTTTACTAATGTTTGCTCTACACCCATCATAAGAGCAGCCTTTCTCCAGTCCACAAGCCCTCCGTACAGATTGGCATTGGTGCCTTTCATCTCAGGAGAGCATGAATAAAAATTTGAGATGCTCAGTGGCTCATATGGTAGCTCAGATAAGCAGTTTTCTTTTTGCCTTTTTTTTAATTTCATCTTCTTCAACTTTGGACTTACCTGTCCTTCACTTGCCTGTTCTTCACACCTTCCAGTTTCCCTAGTATCCATTTCCTCATACTGCCTTTGCCACCAGACTCAGTGCACTTTGCTGTGTTGATACTCTCTAGTGCAGGATGTCTTGGAGGGTGCTTCTTATTCATAATTTGACAAAACCAACCCTGTCTTTCTTGCACAGATTTCACACCGGATGGGTATGTCGGTGATGTGCTGTGTAGATAAAGAGCTTGTCAGGAACTTTTTGATAAAGTGCCTTTCATCCAGAAGTACAAATCTGTAGCTGCTGTAGCTATTCACAGGAACATGCTATGGTATCTTGGCAAAATACCTGCAATCTGTATCTAGACAAGTGCTCTAAGCCAATTTTAAAAACAAGACTTCTCTTCTAGAAAAGCAATTGGTGGTGGAAATCAAAAATTTCTCATCTCCTGTTGCCTTTTCCAGGGTCCCAGTACTTTCTACTTTCCTGCTTATTCCGCATCTCCTAGGGATGATGCAAATGCTTTATTCTCTCAGACTCTAAGACAAGTCTGCTGGTTTCTACTTGTTCCAGAGGGTAATTGTGCACAAAGTCAGAGTTGAAACAAGGCAAATGATTTCCACATGGTGTCTATATCTTCAAGTTGGAGAGATGTGGATTTGAAAGGTGAACTGTTTAGTGGATAAGGCATTGGCTGGAGGGATGCAGCCAGAGAGTTGTGTCAATGACTCCATGGAGTCTATGTCTAGGTGGAGGCTGGTGTTGAGTGGTGTCCCTTGGGGTTCTATCTCTTTAGTATCTTTATCATTGATATAGCGAGATTGAGTGCACCCTCAGCAAGTTTGCAGATGACACAAAGCTGAACGATGCAGTTGACACTCCTGAAGGAATGGGCTGCCATCCAGAATAACCTGGACAAACTTGAGAAGTGGGCCCACGAGAACCTCATGAGTTCCAACAAGTCCTAGTGCAAAGTGCTGCAACTGGGTCTGGGCAGTCCCAGACATGAGTACAGGCTGGAAGAACTACTTGAGAGCAGCCCTGTGGAGAAGGACATGGGGGTTCGCATGGATGAAACACATCCTGGGCTGCATCAAAAGAAGTGTGGTCAGCAGGTTGAGGGAGGTGATTCTGCCTCCTCTGCTCTGTTCTCCTGAGTCCCCACCTGGAGTGCTGCATCCAGGTCTGGGAACCTCAGCACAAGAAAGACATAGACCTAGAGGAGGGCCACAAGGATGATCAGAAGGATGGAACACCTCTCCTACCAAGACAGGCTGGGAGACCTGGGATTGTTCAACATGGAGAAGAGAAGGCTCCAGGTAGACCTCGCTGTGGCCTCCCAGTACTTAAAGGGGGCTTATAAAGAAGAGGGAGAGAGGCTTTTTACACAGGCATGTAGTGATAAGGCAAGACGAAATGGTTTTAAATTAGAAGAGGGTAGGTCTAGATTAGATGTTAGGGAGAAATTCTTTACTATGAGTGTGATGAGACATTGGAACAGGTTACCCAGAGAAGTTGTGGATGCTCCACCCCTGGAAATGTTCAAGGCCAGGTTGGAGAGGGCTTAGAGCAACCTGATCTAGTGGAAAGTATCCCTGCCCATGGCAGGGGGTTAGAACTAGATGATCTTTAAAGTTCCTTCCAAACCAAACCATTCTATGATTCTATGAAATGAAGGGGTGGAGTTGTTGTCCCGTTGTCATGCACTTGTCATCAATACCCACAAACCATTAACCTGGTCCATAGACTCTCTGGAACATAGAAATTAGAGGCAGAGCAGGGCTTTAAACTGAGATCTCCAAATAGTAAGTGAGAGTCCTGAACTTATTTTTATGTGGGGGAAAAAAGCTTTTAAGAATAAGAAATGCTGGGGGCGGGGGAAGGTGTTGATTTGGGGGGTTGTTTGTTTGTGTTTGTTTGTTTTAGGATTTTTTTGAGGACATGCAAGCAGTTTTCCAAGCAGTTTTCCTGAAGCCCACATACCTATGGAAAGCAGTAGAAGTATCTGCATGAGCAAAGAGCTCCAGCACAGGGAAGTACAGAGGATATAAGAAGAATAAGGCTTTGGCTGGAGAGATGGAAATGGCTTAACCAGGCACCAGGGGAAGTCCTGCAGTAGCTGCTCTTCTTTGCAAAGACTGCAGCTGCAAACAGACCCAGGCAGGAGCTGACCCAGACTTTAAGGAACAACCAGTTTTAGAACCGAAGAACCCCTGTTTTAGGCTGAACTTAACCTATGTCTAAAACTTCTTCAAAATGTTGGGGGAA